TTGTGTGGTTAAATCAGTACATGGCTGCTGTTGAGTGGGGTCCATAAGGAAGTTAGAATATTGGGGGTGGAAGCAGCTTTATTAGGATTCCATCACCATTGAAGTTGTCCTTAGGCTAAAGAAGTTTGAGGACAATTGGTTTTAATCATGGTATGAGTGAGGCTGAAGTGTCTTCATGCATTTATTTTCCACGTGAGCCAGTTAACTTTTCATAGAGAAAAATCTCTTAGAGTGCTGGGCTGAACTGGGGGAGACACAAAAGACAGTCCGTCTCCTCACACCTTTCTTTGTATCACCAGCACTTAGCACAGTCTGGCACACAGTATGCACTTAATAATTGCTTAACAAAAGACTTGGTTCATGAAAACTACTAAAAAGAGCAATTTGGCCCATACACATGGGTAACTTACTCTGATGGATCTGAGATATGGCCAGTGAGGGTAATCTCTCTGACTAGACAGTTGGCAACCCAGCTGTGCGTGTCCATATTCTTGTGTCAATCAGTGCTTCACAGGAGGTCCAGAATTGCTTGTGGACTTTGAAGGTGAAAGATACGATTAGGAGAGGTACATGAAGGCTAAGGCTCATCCGTCTCCTTGCTGCTTTCTGTTGGGTTTGTGACAGTCATGCAATGACATAAACGCACTCATTTTTGAGCAAGTTGATCAGCACCTGATTTCAGGGCTGAGGTTATAAGGACAGACAAGGGCACGAGCAGACCCCAGAACAGAGACTCGAAATGAGTGATCCTACGTTCCTGGTTGTCCATATAACTATTATAATGAGAATCACTGAAGTTTCTATGGAATGGTCTCTAATCCATTTGTGATTTAACTCCTTCTATTCATCTCTGGTTTCAAGAGAGAAAGAAGTTCGACAATAAAATACTTCTGGGCTAACTGTACTTACCATTCCCATGCTGTGGCTGGGAAACTGAAGGGGACAGAGGGAGAGCTTAACCTAAAAGGGGTTTCTGCTTTTGGAGAGGCATGATTCAAGAAGTGAAAAGAATGTATAGTCTGTTGCATGCAGTTAATGCTTCTGCTTTTACTATGCAATTACCAATCTCATTAAACAACATGCTTAAATGATGACCTTAAGTGAAGGTCAATAAGTGAAGCCACATGAAGGGAAGCAAAGGAAAGGGTGTGGTCAAATAGGTAGGAACTGAGTCAGAAACTCAGTAGGTCATACGCCCTCCTAGCTAAGAACCCATTACATAATAGTGATGTAGATGCGGTGATGGAGTTGTGGTTGATAGATTTATGTCCTCCAGTCCATACTATTGCAGCTTTTAGACTGCTTTCTTAGTTACACGTGTTTACAGATGTAGATACCAATGGTGCATAGGGATGTCCATTGGTTAACTTTTACACTGACTGTATGACCAGATCATCTTTTTTTTCCCCTAGTCACACATCTCTCTGATGGCATCCTTCACAGCATTCTTCTTTCACAATTCTTTGTTTATAATGTATTGCTATCTGATTATGTCCATTATGTATATCTCCATTATCTTTTTGGGTAACCTTGTACTTTAATTTTTCAGAGACTGTGGCACACAGATGTTATATAATATGTTATATATTATATATGCATATTATCACATCATAATATGTGCTATTATTATGTTTATTATATCATAATATATTATGAAGTATGCATGAGTATATGTATGAGTATAATATGTATTATGATATATACATGAGGTCTGAAGAACAGATTTGTTGCTGACTGGAGAGACCAGGAAAAGATTTTTTTTTTGGAGATGTTATCTGGGTTGGACTTTTAAAAATGGATTAGAATTTGACAGATAAAGAGGGGGTAGGAGGACATTCTGGGCTTGGGGAATAGCTAAAGCAAAAACACAGATGTGGGAGAACACAGGGCATATTCAAAGAGAAAGAGAGTAGCTTAATTTTGTATCTCTGAGTTGTGCCAGAAAAGTGGAATTGTATCAAACTGTGCAGGGCCTTGAATGCCAGGGAATGATTTTGGATTTTTGTTGGCAAACTGTAAATGAAGATTTTTGAGCAGAAGAGTGATTTGATCAAATCTATATGATAAAGATAACTCCCATAGTGTTTGGGAAAAGATTGGACCATAGGGAGAGTGGAGATGGAAGAAAATGTTAAGAGGTCATGGCCAAAAGCTAAAACCACAAACCTGAGTTGGCTGCGTTTGAAAATGCATACTGGGTAATAGCAGGGACCAGCAGTAGAGTGTGTCCAGAGCAGCAGAAATCCACCTCTGTCTTTCTAGCCTTATTGTGTAATACTCTATTTACTATTAAGATGTCTTCTTAATAGTAAAGTGGATGGACCAGAGGGCCTTCCCCCACATCAAGACAGAGTACATAGGGTTGCATAGAACTCTCTTTGTTAGCCAGTTAAGGACATGGAGTTTCAAACTGATTTCAACTGGTTGTGTGCCCAGCATGATGCTGCTGGGGATAAAAGAGAAACATTGGGTGCTACACATTAGCCCCTCAACGAGCAGGGACTTCAAAGCCTGGTTTTGGAAATAAGATGTGCTCACGTTAAATAATTAAGAAGCAATAATAGACAGCAGAGAATTAAGGGAGGCAGACTGGGAGAGAAGAAAGAACACTGAAGGAGGAGCCTGTGTGGTAGTCCAGGCTTGGCAGCTAACCAGCTGTGAGTGACCATGAACAGCCTCAGTTTCCTTCTCTGTAAAATGGAGGGCTTGGATTAGATTATCTCTTAGGTCCTTCTCAGTCCTAAAACTCTATGATCCAGAAGTGACGGGGAAGGGAAGAGAATAAACATTTATGTAATGTTTATTATGGGCCAGGCACTGTGCTTAGCGCTTTACAAATATTGTCTTATTTGATCCTCTCAACATCTCTGGGAGGAGGGGGCAGCTAGGTGTCGCAGTGGATAGAGCACCGGCCCTAAAGTCAGGAGGACCTGAGTTCAAATCCGGCCTCAGACCAAATACTTGACACGTACTAACTCTGTGACCCTGGGCAAGTCGCTTAACCCCAATTGCCTTAAAAAAAAAATCTCTGGGAGGAAACTGAGGCAAACAGAGGTGAAGTGCCTTTCCCACAGTTGTATAACTAGTAAGTGTCAAAGGATGGATTTGAACTCAGTTCTTCCTGACTTCAGGCCCAGCATTCTACCTACTGTACCACCTAACTGCCATAAATTTTCTGAGACTCAGTTTCTTTATCTGTAAAATGAGGAGGTTGGACTAGATCGTCTTTAAGGTTCCTTCTAGCCCTAGAAATGTATGAATCTTAGTCCATTTCTAGTGGGAGATATAGTTCCCTTGTACTTCTAACATATGTCACAGATTTATAGCATAATAATGTGTGTGTTTGTGTGTGGTGGTGGTGGGGGAAGGGTCAGCCTAGACAATTACCTGATCCTATTTAAAAGGAATGATACAATACTATATCCTGATATTTGGTAAGAATGTATATTGATTGAATGAATCAATCAGAGCTTTGAGCCAGATGTGATAGAACGCCTGTTCAGATGGGTCAAGGGCTCCTGTGGGGCTTGTAAAAAAAATTTGAAGCTTGTTTGGAATTGAAATTTCAAGTGTCTGGTGGTGGAGAGGAGAAAGAGCCACTCTTGAGAAGGAATAGCAAAGAGGGGAAGAGAATATTTTGGCCTTCTTCACCTCCAATTCCCCTTGACCAGAGGAAGACCTAGCGAAATTTGGAGGACCAGAGGATTTGTTTTTTCCATTGGAGTCCTAGTAGCATCCCTAGGCCATCTGAGGCTAGTGGTGGTATCTACATCAGGAGCTAAGGACAGATTGGATTGTTATTGTTTGTCCTCCATTCTTGAAGAGGACCAACGTCATCAGGAGGGTGATATTTTGACTTGAATTAGATTTGAGAGAGGCAGGGCTATGCAAAGTCATTGGCCTCACTCTCTTCTCCAGAATCATTGGAGTCCAGCAGCAAGACAGGTCAGGACTACAGGCAGTGGCACCCTGATTGGATGTAATGACTACAGTGTCGTGTAGGACTCCAGCAGAAGCACTTCCAGGTACTGCCTCTCTGTCTCATGTGCTTTTTAGGTGTGAGCCCCCATTCCCCTGGACTCCGTACATACTTGTGAGTGAATGTGTCGAAGACTGTAGGGGAAAATGCTTTATGCCAACTGTTCTGCAATATTGTCTTAGTAAATAGCCCTTTCTAAAAACTAATTAACTCTGGTTGATTAATTGATATAAACAATAGTGGAGGGGAAGCACTGGAGGGATGGAGGGCAGGTCTTGTGAGTTAAAAATTAACCCTGGAACCCAGAGTAGTAAATATAGCAGCTACACTCAAGGGACCTCATAAGCCAGTTCAAGTGTGGGTTTATAGTTCCAGAACTTGTGCTACGATAAGATCATAGATGTCAAGCTGAAAGATGTCAAGATTAGATGTCAAGCTTAGAAATCATTGGGTCTAATGTCTCCATTTTTCTGATGGGAAAACTGAGACCCAGAAAGGTTAAGTGATTCACACACAGTTGCATGGCTGAGGCAAAATTCAAACCAAAGTCTTCCTGATTCCTTGTCCAATGTCCCGCTCTACCACCTCATTCAGACTCCATGGCTCATTCTAGAAACAGACTGGGCTAACATACTTTTAACCTCTTTTATTATGAAGATGAAGAGGCAGGGACCAGTGTTTCAATTGAGTTTTCCTGTCATTGGGAATTAGAGAACCATCCAAGTTCTCTGGAATCCGGAGGATACCTTTATTCTAAGAGTCATTGGGTAACAACAAACAGAAGAATGGGGTGGAATTAATCTGATGTAGAAATCAGGAAGCAAATACTTATATATTAAGGGGCAGTTGTCAAGACGAGGAATGAGGTTGGGAAGAGGTCCCTCTCAGTTTACTCCTTTCATGCCAATTAAATAAATTCCATAGGCTTCAGTCTCAGGAATCCTAACCCGTGACCATCATGAGAGTAAAACTCAGAAACCAAGAGATTAAGAAAAAGAGGACTAATCATCACATGTCTTAACAGCTACGGAGCAGAAGGCAGATCTACAAGGAAGGTAAGGGCTCCACTTATCCAGGATTTTCTTCCTTTAATTTTGATACTAATTTTGGGAAGCCCTACATGGGCTCTGCTGACCATTCACCTTTCTTACATAGGTTTTGACCTTCAGTGCAGTTTCTTTCCTGAATCTGTTTTGCAGAAAAACATAGACATGGAAGACAGTTCTCATTAGGTCTACAATTGTGGAAATGTTTCTTTTCCCTCTTTTCCCTCCTAGGCTTTTTCTTCCTCGTCTCTCCTTGAAAAGGAGATCAAAGAATTGAGCGAAATATTTAGGTATCTTCTTGGAAACTTCGATGCTTTGTTCAATTTGACTCTCTATTTTGCCACCCCACCCCCAACATATACTCCAGTTACTTAAATAATATAATTCAAATATAAATATTAATTAATAACGAGAATATTTAAAAGTTCTTTGAAAAACCTTAAAGTGCATTGTTACCAAGTCTCCAGGCCAAGGCACTCACCTCTCTGCTAAGTTATTCCTTCCCAGTGGTATCTCTCCTGCCCTTAAACCTTAACCACTAGTAATTATCTAGTAATTATCATTATTACAATATTATTATGGTTAATGTTACTATTATTAAGTTTTTAGTTGCTCATTGGTACAAGCTATACTGCTTACTTCCTAGGTGGTCTCAGGCAAAGATACTTGCCCCTCTGTGGGCTCTCCATCTCCTCTGTAAGGGCATAGACCAGATGATCTCTAAGGTTCTGCACAGGCAGTTTTAAGAGCTTTTCACATTGTGAGCATGCCCTCCCCAGGGGTGAGCACAAGGCTTTTTGATTTCTCATGTTGTATGATGGTTGTCTATGACCTTCCATAAAATTCCCCGTAGCACACAACTCTTAAGGTTAAAATCTTCTTAAGTTTCAGTTTTATTAGGATCTGAGCATAGGGTATGTGTTTACAAGTACAAATTAATTTAATAGTAGTTAATTTGGGATTATGCAATTTAGAACAAATTGTTCTGACACTACATTATTCAGCTGAGATATGGGAGTTTGGCTGTCATTTTGCAGGGGGGGCAGGGAGACTAAGATGTAAATTACCTTCATATACTTCATGGAATCAATCATTTTATTCAGTTAAGCCTCTTCCTTTTCTAGTCCATTTGCTTCCTATTTAATGGCCATTAATGAACCTCCCCATGGGGAGTGAATAATAGAAAATCCCTAGAACTGCCAAAAGGGAAGATAAGTAAATGCTGTAGGGCGAAAAATTTCCACCTGCTGTTCTGCTTTGATTTTGGGTTTTAAAGAAGACTACTAAAAGTATAGACCCTTAAAGTAGCAACAAAACAAAATAAAACCCATTCATGGATCTGACTTGTCTTGTCAACTAGGTAGAACAGTGGATAAGAGCATTGTACCTGTAAGACCTGAGGGTGAATTCTGTCTCAGACACCTCCTAGTTGTGTGACTCTAGACACATCATTTAACCCTTCTCAGGCTCAGTTTTCTCATCTCTAAAATGGTGATAATCAAAGCACCTACCTCCCAGGGTTGTTGTGAGGATCAAATAAGATAATATTTGTAAAGTGCTTTGCAAACCTAAAAATGCTATGTAAATGTTAGTCATCATTTTTAATAATTAAAATTCTCTCCTCCTCCATTATTATTTTTTAATAATTAAAAAATCCTCCCCTCTCTTCTGCTCTCCTCACCTCTCCTCTCCTCTCCTCTCTTTTCCTTTCCTTTTCTTCCCCTCCCTCTTTCTTTCATTTACAAAATGTTTCCTCACAATGCTCACATGAGGCCAGGTACAAAATTTCCTCCCATTTTCTTTTATTTTTAAAAGTTGACACATGTTGTTTTGCTACAGCAGAAGCTTTCCAACAACCACCCAAACAAACTGCTAAAAGTACATTTCTCAAAAACACAGTTAAGCAAAACCCCTAACAGAATATCATCCACATAATATAGACAAGGAAATGTAGACTCAGGGAGGTTAAGAGATTTGCCAAGAACGATGCAGCAACTAAATGTTGGGGCTACCACTTGAATGAAGGTTTTCTGATACTAAGACCGTAGGGATTGACTCTTGAGTTAGTTCTGGTTTCAATAAATGATCTTGGTGTCATCCTTCCTGTTAGGTAACTTTTACTCTGCCTTCACAAGATGCCAAAAGAAAATGCTCACTTCATACATGCCTACCTCAAGAAAAAGAAGTCTCCTTCTCACATTAAGGCAGAAGAGTAAGTCTAAAACTCAACTCAGATTTCCAACCTGTAGCGTGTGGATGGAAGCTTATCCATCTCAGAATGTGTCTGCCTGTCCATAATGTGATTTGTGTCTGTTCCCACAGAATGTGGGACACAAGGGGAAAAAATTTTCTGCTTAATTGAGGTAGGTAGACAGCCAGGTTCAGGATTGTTTGAGGCCAGGTGCTGTCATCTAGGGTGAAAAAAGGTGGGCTTTGCATTTTTGTCTGAATTCTATTTTACTGGAACCAAGTCCAAAGCTCCCAACCTGGATACTGTCTGGCTTTCTGACCTTGCCTACAACACATGCTCTGAAAATCATTCTGCTGGGTCTAATGTATTTAAGGTTTTGAAGGTGGTTTGGAGATGGAAGATAAGTGGTGTGGCATAGTGGAAAGAGCCTGGAATTAGCCTGGCTCCACCACTTATCACCTGTATGACCTTGGGTAAATCAGTCAACCTCTCTCTGCTTTAATTTCCTCATCTAGAAAATGAGGGAGTCTCTCCTAATGTTACATACTATAAATTGCCCAAACCCAGAAATTCCGGGAATAGACTTATTTGGTGGTGGAATGGGGCGATGGTGAGAGTAAGAAATGGTGTCCGCAAGAACAAAGGGGCAGATAGACTTTCCTTAGATGCATGTTGTTGGACAAGGGTTGGAACTGATGTATTAATTCAGGGTGAATAAAACAAGTATAATCTTCAAATGAACAGTAACCTTTCAGTAAGGGAAGATCATCTTATGATAAGGAAAAACATCGGGAGTGGGATGGGAGAGAGAGAGGAATAGGGAGGAGTAGCAGAGAGGGACAAAACAATGTAGTACAATGAAGTCAGTATTTATTCAAGGTCTGCTACATATGAACTTCCTTCTGCTGCTCTTATTGGAGGGCTGGAGGGCAAAACAAAATACTCCTGCCACACCGCCATTTAAAGAAGGCTCAGAAGCCCAGCCAACTCTTCATTTCCCACCAGATGCACTGTTTGGAGCTGATTCTACCATCTTCATGACCCTACCAGGGTACACCCCCCCACTCCAATCAGCTTTTCAGCTTCCTTTTTTTGCATTGTCTTCCCCGATTAGATTGTAAGCTCTTTGAGAGGAGGGATTATCTTTCTTTTTCTTATTTGAATCCTAGCACACGGTCAGGGCTTAAATTATTTGTTGCATTGTATTGTAAAGCGCTGCGCTAGACATTGGAGGAGTTATAGTTTGGATTAAGACACAGTCCCTGCCTTCCTAGAGTTTCTAATCTAGTAGAGGGATAAGACAAAATATTACCTTATAAGCATATTAGAGAATTAGAAGAGAAAAGGTTCTGTGAAGTCTAAAGAGGAAAGGAGCTGGCAGCCAGGCAGGATTAGGCAAGGCCTCGAGAGGAGGTGGTGTCTGAGTTGGGCCTTAAAGATTAGTAGGAATTCCATAAAGGAAAAAGTTGAATGAGGTTAATTCTAAGCATTGAGAAGAGGGAGAGCGAAAATATTCAAGGTGAGAAGACATGGGGCATGGCTGGGAGGGGTTGGTGGTGGTGCAGAGAATAATAGGGTTGGCTGCACCATAAAGTATATGGTGGAATTTGAGGTAAGGCAAGAAAGGTCAGGTGGCATCTGACTATAGAAGGCCTTGAATGCCAGTCAGAGAAGGTTGAACTCTACTAGATAAACAACAGGCAGTCACTAAAGATTGTTGAGCAGAGAAATGACATGATCTAATCCAAGTTTTTGTATAGGGTGTTCCAAAGTCTTAGAGCAGTTTTAAACAATTGAAACTTAAAACTGCCCTAAGACTTTTGGGATAATCTCAGTATTCAGCTCTCTCTGATAGATGGCCAACTTAAGCTTCCTGGTCAGGCCAGCCTCCCTTAGGAACTGAAAAGCATAGGATGTAACAGGCTGGTTTGGGGAATTGGTGAAAAATCCTTCGAATAAAACAAGTCCAGAAACAGACAGGCTGTGAAAACTGGTTAACATACAGTAACCAGATGGAATTTACTCCCTTCATCTGGTTGTTAGCAACAAGTGAGTGAGCTTTCTAAATGAAAATCCTGAAGATGAAATTTCCTCATTCATGAGATACCTTTCTGTAAACTCATGATGGAAGATATTGGTCCTTTGAAGAGGTTGGGTACAATTTTTAAAAATCCTTAAGAGGATTAAGTTATAAATGCAAATATTTGTTATAAAGGCCTAGGTCAGGAGTTTCCAATCTTTTCCTAATGAGAAGTTATTTCTGATTTTCTTCAAAGTCTGATGATCATTGAAGTGGCAGGTGGACCACTGAGCAGACAAGCAGTTAACAAGGGGAGGTTCCCCCTCCCTTTATACTGGAAATCCCAGCAAACCAGGTTTTGAAGTTAAAGAGTATAAAACCTACATGCAGGGACATATTTTTTCTACTCCTGGCCTACGAAAATGCAGTTTTTTGGCCCTGGAATTAAAGAAATTCATCTAATTCTTAGATTAACCACATAGCTTCAACTGAGATTTCACTTCATGGAAAAGTTCTTTTATCCCTTATTGTGTAGGGCTATTCTTTTGGTCTGCCTTGACAGTGGTTTGGCTCAGGGTGGGTTTTGATTGAGTAGGACATAGCAGGACCCCTCTATGTGTGCCTCACCTTTGCGGAAAGAGTTGAAAGGGTCAGTGCGTTACCCTAGAAATTACACTAGATCTGAAGTGTGCTGATCTGGGTCCAATTGCCAACTATGTACTTTAGGCCCTTAGGCAAGTAATTTAACCTTTCTTAGTACAATTTTATTTGCAAGGTGAGAGGGTGTTGCTGGGTAATCTTTTAAGGTCTCTTCAAGCTCTCACACTCTATGATCTATGAAAGAGGTTAGGTTGCTGGTAACAACCACTGAGAGAACAATTAGGAAAGGCCTCAAATCTGCTGGTAGGTCACAATTTGAGAGTCAGTGGTCTAAAAGACGGAATTGGTGTCATTTTGATGCCAGGAAATGACCCAAATCTAGAAATATGTTTTAGGGAATTTTGTGTAGGTGCTAATATTAAGGTTAGAGAATTTTAGTATAAATATTCACATCTTAGTGTATAATCCTTGTGTCAGAAATTCTCTTGTAATATGATGGGCTTGGGTCCCTTTGGGAACCTCTGCTTCTCATACTTGTTTGTATCTACTCAGGTAGTATCTAGGAATGTCACTAGCCATGACAAGTTGACAATTTCCCCCTAAAAGTCCTCAGGTTCACAAGGCATCAGACATAGAACAATTTTTATTTACAGAGTGAAGACCGCAGAAAGGACTCACCCTAGAGCCCAGAGAGGGTCCCTTTCATCAGCTGTGTGACTCACAGTACTGCCCTGATTGGTGATTCATCAGGGAGCAGGGTTAGGGACTCACCAACCCAGCTTTGTGTCCCAGTTACTCCCTATCATTGACTTTCTGTCTATAGATGCAATTGTTCTTTTTCCCAGGAGATGGTGCTAGCTGTCCAACATCTGGACCAGGAGAGACTAACAGTGTTATAATACCTTAATCCCAAGGGTCAGGGTAGCTGTAGATATTTACTCTCTGATGTTGAAGTTTTTAGGCAGTTGCTCCTTCTCAGGAAGTGGCTTAAGTTTCTTAAGGGATTCTGAACCAGGGGAGGTACTGACAATGTCCTAACTCATGCTCTGGGTCAGGATGACACTAAAGTACTTAATCTTTCTGTTCTTTGATGTGTTCCATAGAAGACCCTTTTCCCGTCCTAGAAAGGAGAAGAATCACTTCCCTTGTCAGTGATTTGCACAATCAGAACTTATATCTTTTCCTTCTTCTCCAGACTACAAAGGACTTGCTCAGATTCTGTGAGAACCATCTTCTTTTTGCCCTGCTCAAATGAGTCTCCATTTTTCACTCTTGAACACATTTGAGTGAATTTTCACGTATGTGTCCCTGTCCCTCTGCTCTTAGGTAGGGTACTTCTCAACTGCTCAGTATCTCCCACTGAGTTTTGACATTCAGAGAGGTCTTTCTTTACCCCCACTCCTTACTTGGCTTTCCATTTCCTGTCTTCCCTAGTGGTAATTGAGCCTGGACATGCAAATTACTCTGGAACAGCAATAAGCCTTGAGAAATCACTGAAAACAAAACAAGGGCAGGAGGGTCACATGGGCAGTTCATATGACACCCAATAAGGGTAGGAAGCAAAGGGTGATAAGCAGTTATTTGTTTCATATGCACAGGAACATACTGGCCCAAATCCAAGGTGATGACATTGACCAGCAACTTTCAGCCTCAAGGCCAAAGCTATCTAGGTGTTCACATCAACCTCTGGCTAATCTTTGCCCACAGTTGAGGAGCTGCTTTCCTATTACTCTGGAAGCCTCTACTTTGGATTGTGATTCTAAAGGACCCTCACTCAGACACTTTAATGCTGTAATCTTATCTCTCCCCACCCCCAATGACACTGTAAGAGATATACTTAATGTGGAATTGCTACCAATGCTTAGACAAAGTTCCATTCTTGGCATATCTATGCTGGCAAGCTAAATGGATCTGGAAAAAAAGATTTACATCTCTGGTTATCTCCAATTCTATCTTCTGACCTAGGGCTCTCCAAACAACAGATTATGATTCAGTAGATTTCAGAGCCTTCATAGAAAGGAGGGGGTATCACTTCCCTTTGTCAGTAATTTGCACTCTCAGTGCCTATATCTTTTCCCTCTTCCATATCTATGCCTAGAGATCAAGTCAAGTCAACAAGCAATTATTAAGCACCTACTTTGTGTCAGGCACTGTACTAAAGTACTGATCTTTGGGGAAGACAAAAGTAGCTCCTCATTAGGAAGAAGCTAGGGAACCCAATTATAATTGGGTCAATAATTGACCTTCATAATTAATTACAGAGAAACAGACTTCAACTCAACATCTATGAAGTTCAACTCAACAACATGTTAAGGGAAATCTTAACAAAATCTGAATGGGCAGAAAATATCACTAAGTTCTTCATCCATGGAAATCTCTCATTAGAAGTTAAATGACCAGT